AAGGATGACACAAAAAGAATTGACACCTTTAGCTGTGGTGTTGGAGAAGAGCACTGAATGGATGGCCAAGAGAACAAACAGATATGTCTTGGAGAGGGTGCAGCTGGAGTGCTCTTTTGAAGCAAGAATGATGAGGTTTCACCTCACATTCTTTGGGTATGTTGCTAGGAGGGGCTATTCCCTTGGAGAGAGACATTATGCTGGGAAGGGTGGAGGGTTGGGGAAGGACAGGAAGACCCTGAGCCAGGTGGATTGACACAGTGACTGCTGCAGTGGGCTCTTGTGTATCAGGAAGTGATAGAGCAGGGTTCAGATGTTTTGTTCATAGGGCCACTGTGAGTTGTATTTGACGCAACGGCACCTAACAACAAAAGACTTAACAGCTGTGTCCCTTGGGTTCGATGATTCACTAGAACATCTCCCAAAGACTCAGACCTGTCAGAAGAATGACTCATGTGACCGTAGATACACAGATTTATTTTGCAGAAACTGGCCAGGATCCTGTAGACTGTTAGTTAGGTGCATCTGGGTGGTGACTGTGGGTGATGCAGGCCAGTGGTGCAGAGTTTGGTGAGCAGCTGGAAGCTCTATACCAGGCAAGCGAGCATTTCCAAAAGAGAGAGGCACCTAGCATTGAGGTCTCAGGAGTGTCTAGTAGAGTGTGGCTTGTATCCCATCCTAATTCTCTCCTTAGTAGAACAATTGCTTCAGCATAAAACAAACAGTTAATCATTTGGCTAAGAAAAACAATTTTGAGTGATAAACTTTAGACACCCAGGTAGCAGACAAGTTAGTCTCTTTCATTTCTTTGTCCAAAGATGTACCAGCTATCTCTGGAAGAACCAGGCATCTAAGCTTTAGGAAAAGGAAAGAGGGAGAAGAACTTGCCTTTACCCTTCGCTTGGTTGCTTCACTTCTCTAGTTAGTTAACCATCTCTACTTTTTCTTTATTCCCCCTTCATTGTTGCACATTTTCCTCTCTGTCCCTTCCTTTCCCCTTCCCAGGTTCAATTTGCAATGTATCTCTTAGTCCAGATTGTTGTCATACATATAAATGCCTAATCATATATTCTATTTAAACAACTCTTTTCCCTCATCTGTCCAATGCAGTGTTCATTATCTAGCCACTCTTTTAATATACTGTCTTTACTTTTCCCTCGATTGCTTCACTTCTAGCATCCAGGTTGGCTTTCATAATCATGTACTGGATTGCCAGAAATAATTTTAACTGTCCAGCTTTTAAGTTTGAGTATTGGTTAATTTTTCTTTTTCTTATTCTTGGCATCTTATTTTCATAATTGAGATTGGTGTACGTTTATTTTCTGACACATTTTTAGGGATAACCCCTCTTTTAATGAAAACAACGTTAAAATAAACTTAGAATGTTAGATAACACAAAAGTAGATTAATGAATATGATATACCTGTTATTCAGTTTTTAAAATCAGCTGATCATAGCAAATTTATTTTTATTTCCAACCACTTCTTTCTGGTTATTTAGACACAAATCTCAGATACCATTTTATCTAAAATAGTTCTTTTTATGTTGTTGTTGTTGTTATGTGCCTTCGAGTCGTTTCCGACTCATAGCGACCCTATGCACAACAGCCCTAAACCCTGCTCTATCCTGCGCCAACCGCACT